TTGTGTCTGTGTTCTCCTAGAAGGATTTCTGTTGCACAGAAGCATTTTGAAGGTGGTTAAGCTGAAAACGATTTAATTTCCTCCTGAAATGTTTTAAATCAGTGCAACGATCTATCCTGTCCTGCTTGCTGTTACAGTTCCCAGTTGGACCTTTTCACAGTCCCTCGCTCTAGTTTGTGATTATGATTCAGGATGCTGCATCAGCTTTAAAAGATAGAATCCCTTCTAAAATTATCCATTTTGGCCTTTTCTCTGATTTTATTCTGTTATTTTCTGTAATTCTTCGTTGCTCATGTGGTGTAAACATTAGGGGTCTAACTTAGTGTGAAGTCCTGGTCCAGTACGTATCGTGGCTTTAATTTAAGTTACATTCATTTCCATTACGGTGAGAAAACAAAGTGGGGGGAAAGTTTGTATGTTCTGTAAACAAGTGTGGATTTAATGAGATTAAGAATAAAACTTAAACTATCAAACTAAATATTTTCAGACATCATAAAAATGTACAAAGCTTATATATATATATATGTGTGTGTGGATGGATGGATGGATGGATGGTGAGGGTTTTATATTTATTAGTTTTTTTACCAAAAGATTAAACCTAAAAAACGAAAGACATCATATATGACATCAACAGTGATGTCAAACCCGATTCCCTTTCTTTTTGGTTTGGTGCCGATGGCATTGACAAACCGTGACCTTTGAAGTGTGGCCATGAAGCCGCTCCGCAACTGAGATTCTCCCGTGTGGACTGGCACGCAGCGAAAGTTACGCGTAAACCGTTTTGCTGCCTCCTGTGGATCTTTAATCCAGATGTCGGCTCTATCGAAATAATCTGATCAAATGTAAATAAAAGTTGGTTAATTTCAGCTGAAAAATTTTTGATTTCCAGACGTTCATTAACACTAATATGTTTATTAGCTAATATGTTTCAGCCTTTTTCACACATTGATTTCTTTCATCCATCTAAGCCTTTTGACAGCTTTTACACACACACACACACACACACATACACACACACACACACACACAGAAATGCTTTAAGACCTTTGTGGCTCTCTGATTAAAAACAGAACAACACAACCAGGGGGTTATTTACACGACCACATAGCTCGCCTCTGATTCACTTTAAGTGCTCTTAAATCACCCGCTGTTAAGCGCTGGTTCTTCTCTTCAGGACCAGGTTGTGCCTTTTGACCACACACACACACACACACACACACACACACACACACACACACACACACACACACACACACACACAAACACACGAGTCTGGTGGGTGGTACGGTTTTGCAAGTACTCTCCTAATACAGTAACTTCCCTTCTGCCCTCCGTAGTTAGCAAAGGAGTGAAGCAATATGCTGCAACTTGCAGTCTTTCATCAGCTCACTTCTCTCAGAGCTGAAGTCCTCCTGGGCTTGAGAATCCAGCCTCCTTTCACAAGATGAAGAGATGCGGTTTAGTGTGGAGGAGGAGCGTGGATTGCTGTCACTGCCTTGAAGTGTAAATGAGAGGAGAATGAGTGTGTGTAGGGTTACAGGTGTTTTAGCTTTGCTCAGGAGAATTTCTGTTCATCCCTGGGTGTCTTCAGCTCAGAACAACAAGGTTTAATTTGTTTTCCCTTTGTGACCTCCTCAATAGTCCCCACGAGACAACGTTTTGTCTCTGGGACCGTCTCATTCACACAGCTATCAGCTTTGAGATGCAATCCACAAACATGATCTGCTTGTTATTCCTGCCTCATCCTCTCATCCTCTTTTGCATTTTTGTCAGCGGTGGCCTCTGATGCACCCACTCTCCCAACGTGTGTGAGAAACAGCTGCAGAGGGACCTCTCGTCTTTCTCCGCTGCTCCCTTCTCCCTTTCTCTCTCTGCCAGCAAGTTTCATGCTACTCTGTGTGAACCCGGCAATTTTCAAGCAATGTAAATGGTTCGGTTCAGCTGTGACATTTCTGTGGCACAGCCCTGGTGATGAGCTGTCGAGATGCTCTCGTTAGATTGAGCTCATCCTGACACCAGCTTCAGCCGTCAAGGATATTGTTTAAATGTTTTAAGCTACCTGGTGGGTAATTATTATTTTAAAATTCACAAAAAAGCCAAACCTCCTCGGCTGAGGCTTCAGAAACTACGGGTCCCACCGAGGGTGTGCAAACACCTTTAAAGACGTGTCTTTGGAAGTGCATGAATAGAGAAGTCAGAGGCAGGTGAGACAGGAGCTGACTTTGATCCTGGATATGCCTGTCATCATCAAACCCGTGGTGCCTGCTCCACTTCCCGCCCCCCCCTACCTGCACCAGCTATTTTCAGACGTTTGATTTGTAGACGTGTGTACAGTGTGGAGAGGATGTGGACTGAGAACTGAGTGGATAATAAGTTCAGTCTCATTCTGTAGGGTTGAAGGACAGGTTACGTTGTGGCACCAAGTACTTCTACTGTAACATTTTTATAGCGTTTTATTTTTACAGCCACTTGACAAAAACTCATTTTTGTTTCTGTCCAGGTTTGGGGAAAAACCGGAGGAAGACCAGCGCCCGCGATGCCTCCCCCACGCCAAGTTCAGACACAGAGTACCCATCTAATGGCAGCGGGGGTGGAGGTGTGGGCGGCGCCGCTGAGAGGATCTACGACCTCGACATCCCCGCCGTGGTCAAGTTTGCTTACACAGCAGAGAGGGATGATGAGCTGACCTTGGTCAAGGGCTCCAGGGTGCTTGTTAGGGAGAAGTGCAGCGACGGCTGGTGGCGGGGCAGTCAGGCCGGGCGCACTGGCTGGTTCCCCTCAAATTACGTCCAGGAGGGGATTGCCGGGGCCGATGACGGGGGAGAGGGAGATCTCTCACAGGTCTTCCACGGAGGGTCTCAAGGAACCTCGTTAGCTAACGGGCGCGCAGGCGGCCGCAGCGTTCTTCATCTGGTTCAAACGCTCTATCCCTTCAGCTCCGTGACGGAGGAGGAGCTGAACTTTGAGAAGGGAGAAGTCATGGAGGTGATGGAGAAGCCGGAGAACGACCCAGAGTGGTGGAGGTGTAAGAACTCACGTGGCGTTGTGGGGCTGGTACCTAAAAACTATGTGATGGTCCTGGATGAGCGGCCGTTGGGCTCCCCACAGAAGAGCTTCCAGGCACCGGCGCGCTCGGGGAGGTTCGCCGGGAGGGACTGGTACTACGGTGACATCACCAGACAGCAGGCTGAGTGTTTACTCAACGAAAGAGGAGAGCAGGGCGACTTCCTCATACGAGACAGCGAATCATCGGTGAGTCAGGCGAGGAACAGAAACTAGAAAACATAAAATATTATATATTTTACATTTCCTGTTGCAAATCACCAAAGTTAAAGCGGTAATTATCTCCTCTGATGGAGCAACAACTCTGTTCGGGTTCATGAGGGACTTTTAAAAAGCTTTTTCTGGGCCCGTCTGCTGCTTTCATCCCATCGTTTAGTCCTGAAGTCAGAAATCCTCCACAAAGGTTTCTGAGTACGTGATTCAAACATCTTCAGGGAGAAACGTCCTCTCTTCTGAAACTGTTTAGTAAATTTGCTAATTTAACCATCCGAAGATATTGATGTTTAAAAGATGACTCCGGTTTTTTTTTTCATCAGTGGATAACTGAAACGTGCCTTAGGTTTCATTAGCGCTGTGCGTGCATGTGTGTGTGTGTGTGTGTGTGTGTGTGTGTGTGTGTTTGTGTTTGTGTGTGTGTGTGTGTGTGTGTGTGTGTGTGTGTGTGTGTGTGTGTGTGTGTGTGTGTGTGTGTGTGTGTGTGTGTGTGTGTGTGTGAGAGAGAGATTCCCGTTTTCCCTCTGCAGGAAACCTTTGCTCTGAACTCTTGAGCTGATTACTTCTCTGACTTTTCCAGTCCTGCAGTTTTCCTCCTGCTCACAATTACAGCTCTGAGAAAACAGAACCAGATGTTTTTGAGGGTTTTGCCCTCCTTGTAGTCTCCACTCAGGTGTGGTTCTGATGGTTGTGATTGGGAGTTGGTGTCTTTAACTCATCAGATGTGTGATTTAAATTTTTAAAACATCAGTCTTCCTGTCTTCCAGTCAGTTTTCCTGTTTCCTGTTTGATGGTGATTTATGGTGGTGTAGTTTTGTCAATGCTGCCCCCTGCTGGAGGAAGTGGGATTTGTTTCAGGATAATCACCATTGTTAACCACTCTCCTCTTTCCCCCTGCAGCCCAGCGACTTCTCCGTGTCTCTGAAGGCGGCGGGGAAGAACAAGCACTTTAAGGTGCAGCTGGTAGATGGAATGTACTGTATCGGCCAGCGCAGGTTTATCTCCATGGACGAACTAGTGGAGCATTACAAGAAAGCCCCCATCTTCACCAGTGAACACGGAGAGAAGCTGTACCTGGTGAAAGCGCTGCTGTGATCTACACACTGGATCTCTGACACACACACTCAAACACGCATAATACACCACTCCCTCACTGTCTTAACTCCAGCCTTAGCTCTGGACCCTCCTGCTGTGGCATCTGTCCCACATCTCTTGGTTCTGTCGGCGTCCTGCTAGCAGCAACCAAACTTTTTCTAGCTCTTTTGCCGTGGACCCTAAACTCGCCAGCTTGGTGTGAACGCGCCTCTCCATCTTGGATGTGCTGGCATGCAGTGATCACACGTGCTGCTAACAGAACGCCAGAGGCCTTTTGCGGGGGTGATCTCTCCCTCTGATGTCATAATGTATTAACTAGCGCGCACATTGTAAATGACGCCATTGCTCTTAATTTACATGGGAGATGAGATGTTTAGGACCCCTGAGGGACCTCTCTCTGGTGTTTATTCTCTTCATTTATCTTGAAATAACTTTTCTTTAAGGCTAAAGCAAATTCAATGTTTTTTTTAAGGTTTATATTATTTTTAAGTGACCAGAATCACTTTCTTGCCTTTTTTCCCCTTCCTAATTTTCACCATTCCTATACATGATTTTCTTTACTTTTTTTTTATTTTGTAATTCTTCCTTGTTTCCGTTTCCAGCGACGCTCGCTGTAGAGGCTCTGATGGGCAGTAGGGAGGTGGGGCGTTAATGCAATAGGGGAGACCTTCTGTAGAATTTGAATGTTGATCCGTGTAACCAAATGTGCCACCTCGTATCCATGACTACAGGCTCCTGGTCCACACTGCACTCACCTCTCAGTCATCGCTCAGTGCTCGTGCTTCATATTGTGCCACATTGATCATGTTAGAGTTTTGTTCTCCAGTAGGTGTCTGTAGCTACGTGAGGATACTGACGGAAGAATAATAAAAGTGTGTTTTGGTAACACTTTTGAGTAACTCCAGTTGATTTGCTTCTGCAGCTTCATGCAGTTTTAAGAAGTACCTCTACTGATGTTGTTTCTGTCTTGTGATTACAGAGAGATGTATACAAAAGACTTGGTTATTCTTGATTAATTGGGACCCGGAACAGGCGACCTGAAGCTGCACATTTATAAATCCAGAGTATTTCGTAAAACCAGACCAAAACCAGATATTCTGACTGGTTTCTGTATCGAGGGACACAGCTCTGTCAGACCTGGACATTTTTTCTGTTCCACTCTGAATCATTTCCTGTCTAATGAACAGTAGCTTAATGAAGCTGGACTTTGGGAGCGTTCAGTTTTGAATAGGTTTTCTTATTCCCTCTCAAACCAAATACGCCGTCACCTGAGTCAGAGCTGAAATTGTAAGGCCAAACCTGTTATGTGCATTTGTTTACCAGTGGAAGTGTTGATGGGGTCCTCAGCTTTTATACGATATATCTGAATGTTATTGAGCACTGTTATTTAATTCTTGTCTCCACTGTATGTATATATTCAAAATAAGAAGAGGTGCGTGTATGAATCATAAAGATCCAACTATGGTACTGTATCACCGACGTGATGAGAATTGAGATACTTTTGTTCAATAAAAACTTTTGACAAAGAGTTGTGACTTGGTATGCTTATTAGTCTAGAGAAAGGGGCAGCCACAAGGAAGGAGGCCGAGGACTAGTGAGTGTGAGAGTCACTCTTCAGGATGAAACATTTGAATCGATAAGTACATCAAGGATAAGGTCCCAACAGATGTGCTCAGTGAATGTCTCAGGCAATGGTGAACAGAGGAGGAGACAATGGAAATACCATCGTGGGAGAGCAAACCCCCATGAGATGTACCACTGACAGATAACTGAAGAGGCTGATGTCAAGAAATCCTACCAATGGCTAGAAAGAGCTGGTCTGAAGGACAGCGGAGTGGAACTCATCATGGCTGCACAGGAACAGGCCCTGAACACCAGAGCAACAGAGGCCAAGATCTACCACAGCAGACAAGACCCAAGGTGTATTCTGCAAAGAGGTCCCTGAGACAGTCCACCGCATAACTGCAGGGTGTAAGATGCTGGCAGGGAAAGCAGGCATGGAACGCCACAACCAAGTGGTTAGCATACAAGAACATCTGTGCAGAGTATGGACTGGAAGCCCCAAGGTCAAAATGGGTAACACCTCCTGAGGTGGTAGAGAACGAGAGAGCCAAGCTCCTGTGGGACTTCCAGATCCAAACTGACAAGATGGTGATGGAGAACCAATCGGACAGTGTGGACAAACAGAGGACAGCAGTGGTTGATGTGGTGATGGCAACACCAGGAAAAAGGAACTAGAAACTAGAGAAGTACCAGGGCCTCAAAGAAGAACTTGAGAAAGCCTGGAGACTGAAGACATCAGTGGTGCCCGTGGTCGGGGGCACTCAGGGCAGTAACCCCCAGACTGGAGGAGTGGCTAAAGCAGGTCCCAGGAAAAACATCACACATCTCAGTCCAAAAAGTGCAGTTCTAGGAACAGCTAAGATACTGCAGAACCCTCAAGCTCCAGGCCTCTGGTAAAGGACCTGAGCTTGGAAGGATGAGACCACCTGCGAAGCGTGAGATGGGAATTTTGCTATCACCGTCAAATGACCAAACAAGTACCGTATGTCCACCTCACTCTCCTGAAACATGTAAATATCAGTTGGTAGTATCAGTCAAGTTTTACTTACCGGACCAGCATTGGCGCTGCTTGCCGACAGGCAGGGCAGGCCATTGCTTGGGCCTGCAAGCCATAAGGAGCCCCTAGAGAGCTGACACTCTAAACCTAGTTCAAACTGCAACAGTAGTGAGACGTTGAAAAGCTGTTAGCCATTTCACACGCCTGGACGAGGCACCCCCTCTGTCCTGGCACTTCCTGGAATAACAACCCTCCCTGGCCTTCCCCTCCTCAGCATGCTTTCCAGTCTTCACCGGACAGCAGGTCTTTTTGCTTGGGGCCATACGACCAGACCAATACCATGTTAAAAAAAAGACCAACATCGGTCGATACCGATGTTGATATATTGTGTATCTAAAATATAGAGCCTTTTAAATAACCTACATTTGGAGAAACAAATTAGTTGTGACTGGAGCCGACATCATCACATTACTGGTAAATATTAGCCTGGCAAGCTATCCATTATATGAATGTTAATATGTAGTCTGGCCACGACCCATAGACAGAGCTTGATCGTGGGGCAGGATCTACAGTTGTCTCCACATGCTATTGGACAACAACCAACATGATGCACTCCCCGCTATGGATGTCCGTCTATAGGGCAGACTGCTATTCACTCAAAGCAGATGCAAATACATCCTTTTTTAAATAAAGGACTTACCTAGCTATGTCTGCTCTTGAAAAGCCAAAGTCTAAGTAGTCCAAAGCCGTTTCAAGTGAGCTGCTGCCATCTTAGCTGTTCCGCTCCGCTGCATCGTCCCGCCCACCAAACCAATAAAGTGCTGTGGTTGGCATAACGTCAAACAGATCAGGTGAATGGTAGACCTGTGGCTACACCAACATGCAGAGCAACATTGTTTTTGCTTTGGCCACTGTCAGTCTAGATTACTAGGCTAGGTAAATATTAGTATTTTTTGGCACAATTAGCAGCAGACCAACTGTGACAAAAGTAGTTTAATAATTTATAGTTAACAGTGGTAATTAGAAATGTTTTCATTTAGATTAGAGGTTTTTTCAGGACGGCGGCCTATTCTCTCTTAGATACAAACGCTGTTCACAGAGGTGTTTTCATTTTTATTTTTTTACAACAAGATAATGTTTAATGGCCTTTCTTTCAACTCCACTCTAGACCGAATCCAACATTTTCATCGATTACCTAAAAGTTTAGTATCAGATCCAATCATTTTTAATATTTCATCTCATTCAGGGTTGTGTGGAGCTGCCCTTCTTTTGGTCGAACGATGGCAACAACTGTTGAGTTTAACATCAGAACTAATGTTGTTATGCTCTTGCCAACTTCTCCATTGACTGGGATTGAATTGATCGTCTGTCGCCATGCTTGATTGTAATCACTGATGATCAAAGTCTGCCAGGTTTCTGAGTGGATGGATTTGCTCTGTGAAAGAAATTTTCCTCATGGGAGTGTTAAACTGGGATGAATGATCTGAGATGTTAAACCTCAAAGCTGCAGAGTTCCTGTGAAGGTTCTGTTTCCTGTAAGATCTGAGACTTTTGCCTTTTAGGAGTGTTTTATCCTGTCTAACAGGTTTTTATCTGTGGCTAAATCTGAGCAACCTTAGAGTATTTTTTTATTTTTTCAGTTTTACACATTTATGAGTGCAAACTGGAGCCACTCAGTTGGATTCATGGTTCATATTCTCTTGTTTTTTATTCTAAATGTCATTTTCAAGGGAGTTAAAAAGGTCAGACACGTTGTCATGTCGATTTAAAGCATCCAACTGCCTAAAGGACAAGCTGTGACTACCTCAATTCTCCACATGATGGCAGTATCGAGCCTCCAGCCACTTCAAACCTTGAGGCTGAAGCTGGGTTGAAGAGACTAGTGAATTCTTAATTTATTGATTGATCTGCTTGTGTGGGTTTGAGTCAGATTGTATCTGAACAATTCAGTTTACATCAGAAAATTGAACTTGATCAGCAGCATCTGTAATTTATAAAACAGTCTCAGTTAAAGGATGAGGTCACTTATCTGTCGACTGGTCTAACCGGACGACATGCATGAGCAGAGATCTGGAATGGTTTTAGGAAACAGGAAACCAGTGGGGATGAGGCTGCTTAATTTTAAAAGGTGAAGACAAATGGGTCAAAAAGCTGAAGCTGTAAATCACTGCAAAATCCTCATTTCATTCAAGTTAGATCTTATTGTACTTTTTTCATCATTTTAAGCTCATAGTAATAAAGAAAAGGTGATCAACGCTGTTGATATTTCTGAAAAATAATCTAAATTATTAAAGCTAATTTAGCTGAGTCATGAGCAGTAGACCAGATGAGGGGGAGCTCCACCAGGGTTGTCGTCTCTGTGTTTTGCAGATGATACTGTCCTGTTGGTGTCTCCAGGCCTTCGGCGAGCACAGGGGTGGGTGGCTGGGATTGGGAGTCACCACCTCCAAGCCTGAAGCCTTGGTTCCCAACCAGAAAAGAGGAATCTTTGCTTCAAATGGAAGACTTGAAGACAGATTATGACTCCATTGTTAAGAATGAGAGAATACTGCTCCTCCTCATCAAACGGAGTCAGCAAAGGTGGCCTCTTGGTCTTACAGGGAGGAGACCCAGACTTTTCAGAGAGATCATGTATCCTTTTTGGTTTGAGATCCCCCAGGAGGAGAAAGAGGAGTGTGTCTCCCTCCAGAGCCTAAGTGAGCCAATGTGTCAGAAACAAGACCTTATTGATTACTGACTTGACAGGCAGGCCACAGTTTGTCCGCCTGGGAAACGTCCTGTCTGATGTGGTGGTCAGTGATGTAGGAGCTCCACAGGGAACTGTGCTTTCGCCTTTCCTCTTCACCTTCTGCAACTCCATGTCATGCCACCTGCAGAAGTTTTCTGATGAATCGGCTGTTGTGGGGTTTACAAAAGAGGGAGAGGAGGATGAGTACAGAGCACCGGTAGATAACTTTGTGGAGTGGTCTGAACAGAATCACCTGAGGCTGAATGTCAGTAAAACAGATGGTGATGGACTTCAGGAAGAAGAGGATGCCTTCACAGCCACTACAGATCAGAGGGAGGGTTGTAGAAGAAGTGGAGAACTACAAGTGCCTGGGTGTTGTGATAGACAACAGACTGGACTTCTAACACAGAGGCTGTATACAACAAGGGATTAAGCAGAGTCTGTTTCTTGAGGAAGCTGAGATCCTTCAATGTGTGCAGCAAGATGTTGGAGATCTTTTACCAGTCTGTTGTTGCCAGCACCATCTTCTTTGCTGTCATGTGTTGGGGCAGAAGCATCAGAGCCAGCGACACTAATGGACTTAATAAGATCATTCAGAAGGCTGGCTCTGGACTTGTTTCAGACTGGACACCTTGGAGACCGTGGTGGAGATGAGGATGCTGAAGAAACTTCTGTCCATCATGGACAATGACCAGCATCCCCTCCACCACACAGTAGACAGACAGAGGAGCACCTTCTCACACATGCTGCTACAGCTCCACTGTCGAAGGGAAAGATAAAGGAAGTCTTTCCTACCGTATGCCATCACAACTACACCTGAATCATGATATACAGTCAGTGTGTTTTTCATGTTTTATTGTTCTATCTATCTATCTATCTATCTATCTATCTATCTATCTATCTATCTATCTATCTATCTATCTATCTATCTATCTATCTATCTATCTATCTATCTATCTATCTATCTATCTATCCATCCATCCATCCATCCATCCATCCATCCATCCATCCATCCATCCATCCATCCATCCATCCATCCATCCATCCATCCATCCATCCATCCATCCATCCATCCATCCATCCATCCATCCATATGTTTTTATTTCCACATCTTGATCATCAGAAGGGAAAAAAAAACAACCATAACAATAAAAGAAATAAGAAAATGGCTTTCAAGGTTAGACATTTAAGAAACTTGTTCTTCTTAGTTAATGCTACAGAATCTCGGCTCTCCTGACGG